CCCATGGACCGGAAGTAGATGGGCGGGATGAGTGGGGGTTAAAGGTCATAATCTGATGTATTGATCTGTTCAGATGAGTGGGGGTTAAAGGTCATTCTGATGTATTGATCTGTTCAGATGAGTGGGGGTTAAAGGTCATTCTGATGTATTGATATGTTCAGATGAGTGGGGGTTAAAGGTCATTCTGATGTATTGATCTGTTCAGATGAGTGGTCTCGGCCCATCTTCGGCCTCACGTCGAACTACAAAGCAATGACGAGAGAGGAGAGGCAGCAGAGAGACCTGGACCAGCAGATGCCTCAGAAACAGAGACTCAGGTAACACACACACACACACACACACACACACACACACACACAGTAAATATGATCTGAACCAGTGTTTCCTTCACCTGGAGAGGAAGGAACCCTCAAATCTGAGGAATGTCATCACGTGTAACCATGAACCAATCAGCAACCAAGGTAGCGTAAGGTACCTCTAGCACGGAGCTTGAACCGGAGCTGCTTTGGTGTGAATGAGGTACTAGAGCTCCTTTGAGTTCTTTGTAACCAAATGTCTCTCAGAGGGGCGTGGGGAGGGGCTCCTTATTTTCATCTGAAGTAACAGACAGAGAATCAGCACTTTGGAAACAGGGCTGAAACAGAGGGGATTATGGGTAATGCTGGAATGACCTGTTTGGTGTTTCAGCCAATCAGAGACAGGAAGACACGTATGTTCTTCCAATAGAAGCTGCTTTAATGGTTTTCACATCATGAGCTGTGAAATGTTCTGACGGAGAACCTGAGAGCAGCTCAGCTCTGACTGGCTCTCACACAGAAACCATCGTTTGATTTCATCTTCGTCTTTCCATCATCACATGTTGAGTTCCTCCTGCAGCCCCTTCTTCATCCTCCTCCTGATTTACTCTCTGATTCCCTTCCTCTTCATCTTCCTCCTCCTCTTCATCATCCTTCCTCCTCCTCCTCCTCCTCATCAGTAAGCCTCAGAAGGTGTTGAGAGAGGAGGAGCCCGACGTCTTCTCTCCACCAATCAGGTTCAGTTATTCTCTGCATGTTTGCAGTGGGGTTTGAAGGAGCCACATCAGCATTAAGGTGGCACTCAATGGGCCGGTTATATCTTTAAGACTATATAAAAATACATATGTAAATATATAATGTATTATGCCTCTGCATTGGATTATCCTGGGTTAGGGTAATAACTTCATCATTAACTACGTCTGAAAGCAGAACTCTGGGGCAAATCATTTCAAGTCTCTTCAGTGTGCACGTCACAAAATGATTTTTTTTTTAAAAAGTAACATTTTAAAAAAAAAAGACAAATTCTAAGAAAAAATATAAATTTGAGATGCATTGTGGGACATGTAGTTTATGGGCGATGTGCTTCTGTAAAGCGGCATATCTCTGCAGATAAAGAAAAGGCTGCACTATATTATTATTATTATTAGCTTACACACAATTAAGAGACTCGCTTTGACAACGTCTGCATACTAACGTGAAGCATCACTTCTGCTGTGTGTCATGTATATCAGGTTGGATGCTCTCATTGGCTCGTTGTGGTTTTGATGCTCAACTTGTCGTGATTTGTGAAATGACGGTTTGCTTCTTGCTTGATATTTTGTGATAACGAGGTTCAGCAGTCGAGCTGGCTAACGTCTGAGAGCTGTGTGTGTGTGTGTGTGTGTGTGTGTGTGTGTGTGTGTGTGTGTGTGTGTGTGTGTGTGTGTGTGTGTGTGTGTGTGTGTGTGTGTGTGTGTGGAACTAATATTTAGAAACCCAATCAGAAGCTCTGGATCTGGTTATTGATCCAACCTGTGCTCTGTGTGTCTGCAGCTCGGGGGGGCAGACGCCTCGCAGGGACCTGGAGAAACAGCTGACCGGAGAGGAGAAGTGAGTTCCTGTTCAAACCTGTTCACCTTTTTAGTACAAAAAACAATTTAACCTTTTTTTTACTATAAAAAACACCATAAAAGTATTTTATATGAATATTAGTGTCAACTTCCAACTCTTTATTATTTATCAATGTTCATTATTGTTCACGCTGTGTTTGTTTACATGATGCCTTTGTTGTTCTTCTGAGTTATTGTCTCGTTATCAGTCTTGTGTCGTCAAAGATTTTTATCAAGGATTTTCCTAACTGCATATTGAAGCAGCAGCGCCCCCTAGTGGACACCAGCGATGCAAATACAATACGGTTAAGGCAGTAAAACATGTAAACAAGTCAATAAGTAAGTTATTGAACATGTATTTATCGATGCAGTTGATCATTACAAATCTACAAATGATATAGAAGCGGTGTGAGGTAGAACACCAGGCGCCAGGATGTAATCATGTACTTAGCACAAGTGTTAGGAAAAGCTATATGATACCCTCTCCTCCTCAGAGCTCTGAGACCAGGAGACCCCGGGTTCTGCGCCCGCGCCCGCGTGCCCATGCCCTCCAACAAGGACTACGTGGTGAGACCCAAGTGGAACATCGAGATGGAGTCAAACAGGGTGAGCATGACGCTTTGTGCTCTGTGGGGTGAAGAGAGATCTGTTCTTAGATCACAATGTTCCGGTTAACGTCTCCTCTCTCCTCGCCTCCTCTCCTCGCCTCCTCTCTCCTCTCTACCTGAGAGTTAGAGTTTCAGCTTATAGATGTTTCTGTTCGAGTGCTGACAGTCAGAAGCCCTTTCTTAACTCTAATGTTCCCCTCTCTCCTCGACTCCTCTTTCCTCGACTACTCTTTCCTCGCCTCCTATCCTCGACTCCTTTCGAGGAGAGAGGAGTCGAGGAGGGGAACCGAGGAGAGAGGAGGGGAAGCAGCAGGCGGTTAGAGAAATGAGAACTCCTCTCCTCTGAGCGGTCATTTTAAAGAGACGTCCATTAATGATGACAGGAGGCACAGCAGCCCACACACACACACACACACACACACACATGAGAGACACACACACGCACACACACACACACACACACACACACACACACACACACATGAGAGACACACACACACACACACACACACACACACACACACACACACACAGAGAGATCTATGTACGATTTCAGAATCAAACGAGTATTAGAGCCCTCTCATAATAACTAACGCTATCAGAGATTTTGATATTTTATAGCTCCTCCAGAGAGCCTCCTCGATGTGCATTTAGAGAAATGAGATGTCTTTCAACATGGCACGCTGACATCGATTTCCGGGTCACTACCAGAGGACCGAGGAGTCGAGGAAGCAGAAATGAGAGAATTGAGAAAGGGCTATAGTGTAGCCACAACTGCTAGCTTGAAACAAGGGGAACATGCATTTAAATGAAGTGGTTAAACATCAGCTGATCCCAGAGACCTGGTTCTGGTTTGGTGCTGGTTTTGGTCACAAGCTGGCCTGTGATTGGTCCTCTCAGAAAGGCAGTAAGAAGGGCATCAGCCGATTGGAGAAGCACAAGCGACGCATCGCGGACCAGAGGAAGCTGACGCGCCTGCAGGGAGCCGTGAAGATCAGCGTGGAGGGCAACAGGATGCCTCTGTAGCTGCTGGTGCAGTTCCGGCTGACGCCTGCAGGGGGCGTAAGTCCTGCTGCATGGTGTGCAGGAATGAGTCCTGAACTGGACATGAGTCAGCGCTTCCTGTTCCCTCTGCAGTGGTTTAATGTGGTTATAGGTTGTTATCCTGGAATAAAGTCTGTGGTTAACACAAGCTGAAGAGATTTAGATTCTTCCATCAGTAAATACCCCACAAAGTGTCTGAATGAGACTTCAGCGGTGGTCACGTGAAGTCATGTGACCGTGCTGTAGTTCCTTTATAGCCCAACATTAGCAACCACTCACTAACCTGTTGGTGTTTTGATGCTTT